GTTTGCTGTGGGGTTACAAACGAGTAGAAATAAGAAGGGGGTGTTAAAGGCCCGGTTGAACTTTGAACCAAAGGACCGAGAGTGATGGGGGCTCTAACGTGCGCTAAGTATTAGAGCGTATGCTCTGTGTAGCTTTAGAGTTCTAGAGCTATTGAGCTATTCGAGTTCTCAGGTCCTCGAGTGCTCGAATTGTCTAGCCTCTCTTTTTTTAGAGAGCCAGAGAGAGCTTTTTAGGAGAGAGCTCATCCCCTTTTATAGTCGAAGGGGATGGCCTTACAAGTCAGAGAAAGAGAGAGAATGTATATGTGTGCTACCTAGTCTTGTTGCCCATGCTATCGGGTATGAGATGGTCATCGACGCCCACAATATTGTTTATGTCCAGATGCATGTGGCAGGCCTCTACCGTGTTCACCTGGTATGGCAAACATCGGTGCCTACAATACTGTTTGTGTTCTAACATGCCTAGAAGGTTGCATAGTGCCCATTTGGCATGGCTTGGTGACACCGTCCTGATAGGTGCAGGGGTATGGCTGGGTACGGTCCTTGGTATTACGGTTTGACTTGAGCATCTTACCTTATCTGCTTTGCCTGATCCCCGGGCCCTCACCAAGCGAGCGTCCTCGATCAGTCGTTCCTAGTTGGCCCCGACCGTGTCGGTCGGGGAAGAGCTGCGAGCAGAGGTCCAGCGTATCCCCGGTCAGAAAAGGAGGTTGGAGTCGGACTATGTCCCCACCTTGGCTAGGCCTTCCGGTTGGGGACCGGATCATTCTTCCGGCCTGTCATTATGTATCTAGGACTGGCCTGGGAAGCGCGCGTTGTCGCTACGCCGTCAGTTGGGCTGAGTTTTTGTAGGGAAGCGGATCCATTGGGGACCCCGGGTTTATGAACCCAACACCCTCCATTTGAATTTCTTCACTAACATAGACTTCATAGTCATCAGAAAACGGGTTTACTAATTCTTTGAGACCTTCTGGGGCCTTAGCTACGGCACTTTCATGTGGGCTGTTGTTACTCTTCATTGCCAAGAGGCAATTGATTCTACTGGCTCCTATATCACAAGATCCTTGTTTATATTATTCATCTTTTTTAAAGAGCCAACAACAGGTGTTGTATAAGTCATACAACATCAACAGGTATCGAGAAATTCATTGTTTTGAATCACTGAAGTGGGCACGTAGTCCCGCTTCTCTTCAAGTCATAGGTCTCTACATACCATGCTCCCCCAGATCGTCCCATCTTTTATAAAGATAGTATATCTTCTAATTTCTTATTTGGGTTCAATTTGTTAAAACCTTATATGGCGCTTTAAGCACCGCTTTAATATTTTTGATGGTGACTACGCTATCTTCCTCTCTAAAAAATCCAGGAATTTAGCTGCTTCTCTACTTAGGGGTATCATTGTTATGATCGACGGTCACATTCATCAAAATCTTTATCTCACTCAGTTTCTTACAAAATCTGTATCTCACTCTTAATGAAGAGTACACATTTATCAACATCTTTATCTCACACTTAATGAAGAGTAGTTTCTTAATTGATCTTAATTCTTACTCTTAATTTATCTCACAATTCTCCTCGAAATATGGCATGAACTATACGGCCATAATTTCGAGAACTATTCAGAAAACTATGAACGAGGAGACACTTATGACTTACTTCATTCACATGATTATGCCATGCAAATAAAGTTATTTCTTGATCCATATAGGAGTACACTTTCCTCATTCCACTTCAAGAACTCAATGATGTCTTTTATTCACTAAACTTTTGCAAGTCAAGTTTGCATCTTTTTCTTGTTCTTTGATTAGTATTGACCATGACGGTGTATTTCTATTGTGCCATGGTCAACACTAGGATAGCATAAGAACTACCCAAACTTCTCTCGCTATGCGGGATAAAAAAACATATAAGTCATCACAAAACTTTTCCCATCATGTATGATTGACTAGCATAAGTACTATGCCAAACTTCTCTCCATGCGGGATAAATCTATATACCAATTACCGTAACAAAAAATTTAGTCAACTTATACTTCATTTTCTAATTAAATCTTCCCGTTGGTTTCAATTTAATGAGAAAATTAGTAAACTAACAAAAAATTGTCCTAGACTGGCTTGACTCAAGCCTTTTCATTCACATACCCCATCATTGCAGCCCGTTGGCATGCAGCCGAGTGATCTCGTCGGTTAAAAAATAAAACTTACAAGATGCTTCTGCATCAATTCTATATCACCATTGGACAAAAAAATAGAATTAATGCATAAAACTCATAAATTAACTTGAAAGACATATAACTACTCTTCAAAATTAAATTCTCCCGTTGGATCGAATTTAATTAGAAGATAATCAACATTATTGCAGCGAAACACGATAATAAAATACATTCTATTAGTTTAGGAGCATTTTTTGGTCTTTATCTACTCTCTAAAAAATTAACCATGTTGGTGTAAAATTTATCAGAGATTTAAACTTCATCATCAAACTTATTATAATATTGTTATCATCAACGTTTGTTAGAAAATAACAATACCATAATTTAACATAAACAAATTGGACTACTCCTCTAATTTAAATTTTCCCGTTTGTTCCAATTTAATTAAAGGATAAACATAATCATAATTTACTGAATAAATATAACTGCTCTTCAAATTAAATTCTCCTGTTGGTTCGAATCTAATTAAAAGATAATAAACATTAAACTTTACAGTGGAAAACTGAAAAAATAATTTATCTACTTTTTAGAAGCATTTTACTGTACTCATCTACACTCTGAAAAAATTATTCCGTTGGTTCAAATTTTGATAGAGATTTAAACTAGATAGAAAATCATCAAAAATTTGCTTCTGAAAATAGTAAAACAATTCATAAACTTTACTATGCATATAGCCCGGCCCATCAGGCACTCGCGCGCGGCCCAATATGCAGACACGCTATGCCACAGCGGCGGCGGCTTGCGCTGCGCTCCCCCGCGCCCAGGCCGCAACCTTGGCCTGGGTCGGGAAACTGCTCGCCCACCTAGGCCGAAAGTGGCCCGTGCGATCTGAGCCGTCCATCCCGATCCAACGGCCGGGCGGCGATCTCGGCGGAACAACCCCCCCGCCGTGCCCATATCCCAAACCCTAAGTTCATTTCTTCCCACCCCTTTCTCTCTCTTCGCCGCGGTGGCCGAGTCTCTCTCCTTTCTCACTCTAGCCGCGGCGGCCGGCTCTCTCCTTTCTCACCCAGAACCATGGCGGTCGAAGAGAAGACGGCGGCGCCACCACCGGTCCCCTCGCTGGTGCGCGCGCCCACCGTAGGGTGCGCGCGCTGCCGTCGAGCGGTCTAGCGATGGCGCCCTGAGCACATGTGCGCGGCTCGATGGAGCACCGGCGAGCCAGTGGCTAGGGTGATCTTCCCGCGCAAGGCGGTGCTCGGGGTCTTCATCCCGCACAACGGCGGTGGGATGGCGGCGCTGCCATGGGCCCCTCGCCGGTGCGCGCGCTCGCCAGAGGTTGAGCTCACCGCTGTCGACCGGCCCTCGGGCGGTGCCCTTGGTCTAAGCCTGAGGCGGAGACCACACGGCGGCGAGTCCTCGCGCCCGCGGCGGCTCGGGGTAACTTCCAGCGCGGTGTCGAGGCGACGGCCGGCGGTGGTGACGGTGTGGGCGGTTCCTAGGTAGGAAAACCCCCTTCCATTTCCTTTCTATTCTTCTAGGGTTATGGTTTTGATCCGATTCAGAAAATGAATCCCCTCCTTCTATTTTCTTTTTACTTTTCTACCCCGATCTAGATCTACACACTGGAATCAAAGCTCTGATACCATTGATAGGATTTATAGTATCATCTAGGCGTAGATCAATGGGTAAAACTTGACTTAGACAATACCTTGTTAAGTACCTCAACGAGAGGCAGTCGACGGCCAGGGCGCCGACGACGAGGTAGCAGCGACGTGGAGGCGCGGTCCAGTGGCGGCAACGAAGGCGATGGCACTTCCCGTCGCTCACAGCACACCCTCTCGATCGGTCTAGGGTTAGGATGCCGGTTGGGCACTGGCGGCTGTGGTGAACCTCGTACCTTGCGCCCCGGCCCCCACCTTCCTCTTTATAGCGCTGCTCGACGGGGGCCCATAAGCAGGAGAACGGTTGGGCGCCCCCGATCAGGGCGCGAATCAAGGGCTCAATTGGCCATTGGGCCAACTGGTGGAGATCAATCTAACACGAGGCTCCAACTGTGAGCTTTGCCAGCAATGTGAGTAGCCTTTTAGTGCAAGTTTACACGTGTCGCCTGCTATGATCTCCAAACTCAAAATGTTTACAATATCTGGTACTTCAATTTGATGAAAGACTGCCAAGTTTCTATTGATTCATGAAGCCAGGGGAAGGAAGCAGTGAAGATGATCAACGAGTGGGTGAAGAAGGCCACGGACAACCTCGTCGACTCCATCATCTCCAGCCAGGGGCGGATCTAGCGGGGGGGGGGCTAGGGGGGCTCTAGCCCCCCCTACCGCTGCAGATCCCCTTGAGCCCCCATGGAGTCCCTGCAAAAAAATTCCACCATGGCTGTTGAGTAGGAGGGGTTAAAGATGTCGAACTCTTCAGTCTGGAGGTTGAAGACAACATTGCTTTTCTTGGGCCAGCGAGATAGCAGGCCTTTTTCATTAATTCCCACATGGATGGCCTCGGTTGCAGCCCAAAAAGGCCTTTGACGACCCTCCAATTCAGTCGATTGAAGGCCCAGTAAGATAACACCTGTGCAGGCCTCTAGCCAAAGACTGGTGCTTCGAATCGCCAATCGAGAAGGCCCATCTCCCTGTATATTTGCTTATTGCTTTTACCTTATTTGATGTTGTGGCATGCCTTTACCTTATCCATTTTACCAATTTTGTTTTTTTACAACATTTTACCAATTTTGTTTTTTTACAACATTTTACCAACATTTTACCAATTGCTGAAGGAATATGGATTAAAAATTATGTACAACCAATAATAGACCTTTTGCTATAGCAATATTTCTTCAGCCCCCCTATAAGTATTTCCTGGATCCGCCACTGTCTCCAGCAGTGACATCGCCGCCGACACCGACCTCGTGCTTGCCAACGCCGTCTACTTCAACGGCAATTGGATGGATCCGTTTGAACCCCATGAAACGTCTACGGGCACGTTCCACCTCCTCAATGGCCGCCACACCAAGGCGGAATTCATGTCGATGTCCTCCTCCTTCACCCCGCAGCATGTCTCCTGCATGGACGGCTTCAAGGCGTTGAAGATCCCCTATGAGGCCAAGTGGGATGGTGGCTCCGAATCGACTCAGTACTCCATGTTCGTCTTCCTCCCAGACACGTGTGATGGCATCCATGGCGACCATGGTGGACGTGGTCACCGCGTCGCCAGCGTTCATGTACAGCATTGCGGGCTGTGAACCTGAAGCTGCCCTAGTTCAAGATAACATTCATCTGGGGGAACCTCAAGGAGATCGACACTCTGCCAGATGGGTCTGACGCTTCGGAGGCCGCCGACCTGCGAGGCATGTGTGATGAGGATGAAGATGACGGTAAGTCACGGCAGAGAATGTTCCTAAGCAAGCTTGCACACATAGCGGTGGTTAATGTGAACGAGAAGGGAACTGAGGCTGGAGCAGTGACATCCCAAGTGTATGGTGGCGGCTCTAGCTCCAGATGACAACAAAAGGATCCCAAACTGAATCTGGCTTAATTGTGTTCACTATTTATTTCACCACATGAGTAAAACAGCAGAACACTGTAAAGACATTGTGAACATGAAAATGACAATAAGATTATTTGCTAGAAGACCGCAACATCTTCAGAACACAAACCATTTGATAGTGGTACAATTGATATAGCAACCTGAACAAACAGCAATGAACAATGCCGGAAGCTAGCCTACAAACATCAAGTGGGAATAAGGTACACTGAATCATCTATCATAACTGTCGTCTATCCTAATTAACATGGTTATGATAGCTATATAAACACGGTCACCATCAGTTTGTGCCGATGCTAGCTATCGTTGTTTATAGGCATGCACAACTCGAGACTTTGCTTTGACGACGTCGTTCTCGGCGAACCAGCGGTGTTTGAGAGCGTCGGCCGCGGTGGGCCTCTCCGAGGAGTCGAAGGCCAGCAGTCCAGCAAGCAGCTCACGCCCGGCGAGCGATACCTCCTCCAGCACGCCGTCGAATGCCTCCGCCTCCGCTCCAAAGCTGACAAGGTCGTCTCTCAGGTCGACCGTCTCATCGAGCAAGTCCTCCTGGGTGTCCGCCGTGAACAGGGGCTCGCCAGCGAGGAGCTCGGCCATGACGCACCCGAGCGCCCAGATGTCCTCCGCCGGGCAGTAGCAGCGGAGGCCGTTCAGCTGGTGCGGCGAGAAGTACCGCATGGTGCCCATGGGCGGGTGCGGCTCCCCGAGGAACCTCTCCGTGGGCATGATCGCGCACCGGAACCCACAGATCTTGAGCGCGCCGCCGGCGCCGACGAGGATGTTGTCCGGGTTGATGTCGCGGTGGGTGACCCCGGCGCCGTGCATCGCCTCCGCGGCGCCCAGTAGCTGCCTCATGAGCGCCCGCGTCTCGTACTCGGAGAACGGCCGCGTGAGCAGGCTACGGAGCGTGCCGGCGCCGCCGCCGAGGAGCTGCTCCGTGACGATGAACAGGTCTCCGGTCTTGTCGTCCGAGGCCATGCCCTTCAGCTGCAGGATGGAGGGGTGGCCGATGCAGGCGTCGAGGCAGCTGGCCTCGCGCACGACCACGCAGAGGCTCGCCGCGCCGTCGTCGCCCTCGCTAGGACGCACCCGCTTGACGGCCACCGTCTCGCCCGTGTGACGGTCCCGCGCCTCGGCGACGACGGGGTCGGACGGCCCGAACTCCTCTAGCATCTCGTAGCGGTTGATGCTGTCGAAGTCGAACTGGTAGTTCACCTCCACCATGTCGTCGCCGATGTCGTCGTCGAACCTGAACTCGTAGTAGTAGTACTCCGACGGCATCTTGTAGTAGCGTCGTCGTCTCTGCTTCTTGCCGGCCTTCCCACGGCTGGGTGCCGGGCGCTTGCGATGTACGATCACCTTCAACGCCATGAGGATGGATTGGAGATGAACGTTTGGAGGCTGGGAGGTCGGCGCGAAGAGAGATGATCGGGTTTGTTCCGGCGGCCTGCGGTCTGCGGTGAGTCGAGATCGACTTCCTCTTGCTCTCGGTACGTAACGTGTCGAGTCCTCCAGACTTATAAATGCCGGCCTCCGTCTTTGGTTCGAGTCCGATATGGTCGAGACCTGTGATTGCACTGGGTTGCGGTTTGCACGTGCGTGATGCACCGACTCGGACTTGAATTCGAGTCCGAACCCCGCATCCGAGGAAGGCGCACGTGAGGGTGCACAAGTGTATTTGTTCGGCCTCTCGGCCATGATGATGGTCCTGCCAATTAGCCCGGCCTCTCGGCCATGATGATGGTCCTGCCAATTAGCCCTGTTTTTAATGGGTTATAACTCATCTCTTACCTAATCTAATCCATATAGAAAATTAGTTTTTTTTATATAAGTTACCACAACCTATTCCAAAAAAAACCCAACCCATTCCAATTCAATCCACTGCACCAACAACTAGAACTGCTGGGTTCCAGACCCCATGGATTTGTATACAAAGTATGGGCACTACTAGCATCAGCGTGCGCATCGCAGCTCCGCCCGCACACCTGCATCGTCCGCTTAAAAAAAGGAAAAATCCGCCCACATCGTCTTCCTCCCACGCGTCTTCCTTATGTCCAGCGTCTCCTCCCCCGCGTCTTCTCAGCCTCCGGCACCACCTTCCCCACCACCTCCTCAGCCCGGTCGGCTCCAGATCTGGCGATGCCGCCCTAGACCTCACCCCTGCATCTACAACCGCCCTGACACCCACCGCCAGCTGTGACCTCCTTCTTTCCCTCCCCCTCCCGCATGCGGCCATGGCGACTTTCGATGAACTTCGGCCATGGCGCCCCCGCCCCGACCTTTTAAGCCCGCCGGATTTGGGGAAGAAGTGGTGGTGCGGCTCACCGGAACCCTAGCCGTCGCCGTCTTCTTTGCTGGCGCCGGCGCGGCCATGGTCAGGCGCGTGGTGGGGTCGGCGCTCACTACTAGAAAAAAAAAAGATTTTACAAGGCAGTGCCATTTTATTATCCAAGGCGGGCGGGCTGGGTGGCTGCCTCCGTTAATCGGTGGCAGGGCCGCTGGCCAAGCGCCCACCTCAATTAATGCTTAACGGCGAGCAACATTAGGCGTCCGCCTCAGTTAACGCTAGATTAGCGGAGGCGGTCAACATAAGGCAACCACCTCCGTTAATCCATTAATCGGGGCTGGCAATTTAAGACGTCCGCCTTCGTTCACTACTATACACACCTTTCACATCCGCGTCGTAACCCACATCGTAATTCAATTTCAGCATCGGCAGTAAGCTGTCAGCAGTGATACTTATAGTCATCACCGTCGGTATCTGAGACCGGGGTGTACACTACATCGCCGTATTGGCTTATCATCCATCCGTGATAAGGTCCGTACTTCCGTCGCATTGGAACACGACCCGCGTGTGTGGGTATGCACTAACACCACCGCATGGCTTATGATCCGTCCGCGATTAGATCCATATTCCGTCACATTAGAGCGTGACCCGCCTGTGTCAAGGCGCACATCACCGTCACTTCAACATATGAACCGTTTGGTCATAGGGCATGGTCACCGTCGCGTTGTAGTACGATCCACCCATGATGATCCTTTAATCGGTGTCGGGTTATTAAACGATTTGGCGGTGATGCACTATTGACCCCTGCCGCATCAGACGAATAGCGGTGAAGATGGCCATCTGCTTCACCAAAGGCGAGTGGTACGGCGGTGATGACAAAACAACCAACGCCTTTACATCCAACGATGACAGAATTGCATCCGATTTTCACAATATATTTACTAATTCAGCTGGGCCTTAATGACTTACTGAACACACACCATACAGATATAATCATTACACATCATTCATCATGTCCACAATAAAGAATACTTGTTATAATAACAATGCTCGACACTAACATAACAATTATGTCAACTGATGAATTAACACAAGTGGTATATAGATAGCATAATAATGGTTCTTCTCACTACATACTTACATAAGGTAGATGTGCTCCGCTCCTTCATAGATTAGCACTCCTTTATTAGTTTGGCAGCCAATGCAGCATGGAACCCTCTTCTTCATCCAATAGCCATTGCAGGAAAATTGTTCAAAAGCACTGAGACTTCAAAACCTACACAATGCAAAACAACGAATTAATAATATTCAACATACCATTGGTTTAGTTACCAAACCAAAATTGGACTATATATGGATTCAAAACAACTTCCTACCTGAACAAAGACATCTCATAACAACAAAATACAGCATATACACATTTACTGCTCTGCTAATGACTTTATGAACAAGGAAACATAAGACGGATAGTGAGGTCTGTTCAAATAAATACTATAGGTACTTTTAGAATAGTGGATGACCAGCAAGGGAGGACATGAACTTTTCTGCGGCTCATGTCATATGCCATCAGTGTTCTATCCTCCCCAACAAGGAAAATCAAATTCCATTCTAGATGAAGTGCAATCACTTTGTAGTCCGCATTAGCAGACTCGGAACCAAGTCCAATATTGTTCAGACTAAATAGCTGCAGTGTGTTCACCATATGCTTAATATCTATTTACTAGTACCATAATCTTTAAGGATCCAGATTGAAAGGTTAGACGTATTGAAAATATCAGCAATACATAGACATAACTAACCTTGATCTCTATGGATGGACATTGCAGGACTTGGTGGCCTAAGAATTTTCCTCCATGTCTTTCCTCCATATCAACAGCAACTATGTGGGACACCTCTAGCATGTGCATAAAACCATTAAGAAACACAGTTCCTGAAAAATTTGCATACTAGAATATTCTCTCCCCATTCAGATTCTTTACACATCCATGCTCCAGTTTTGAATGAGTAGATGCTGACAACTAACACCGCAGGCGACCTTACCCATAGTTCTACCACATGGAAGTGCGAGGAGATTGTGGGATCAAACCCCAAGTGAGCTGAACCATAACAAAGGTTGCTATGCAGTAGTACCACTGATTTGCTAGTCACTAGATTACAGACAACATAGCAAAGCCCAATGCACCAGTAGAGGAAGAGGCCTCTACAGTAATATGAGATGACTAAAACCTAAATGGGGAAGGACAAGAAGGAAAAGGAGGGGTATTCATAGGTGAAGCTGGCGAATCGGCATTTGCCTTTCTAGTTGCCATACATGAATCCGGTGACAAACTGAGATAGCTCCTTACGGTGCTCGGATTCGAAAATGAGGTGGTACTAGGAGCAACACACACTTGCAGTTGCATAAGGTGCGGGCGGTGAGACGACGTGGAGGATAAGGACCAAGACATCGTCTATGAGGATGTATACTTCATTCCTCTTGTTGGTGGCCTCCTCCATCTTGACTAGGATGTGGTGGAGCGGGGCCGGCGATGGAAACGATAGCGCTATCGCCTGAATCAAAGTAGGAGTACCTATGGGGATGTGCCCGTGAGCTCCTTAATGATCAGATGGAAGCTTGATTCGTACTAAGATGAGATAAGAGGGGAATAAAAAGCCAAGAAACATGGATAAGGAAAGTGTGAGAAAGCATTATCCTTGCCTTTGGATCTTGCGGTAGTGAACTCGAGTGGCCACGGTGGTGATGAGTACTAGCCTGGTCACCGGTGGATCTGTGTGGGCATGCCAGTGAGACGTACCGGCATGGAGCACTAGCTTGTCGGCGGTGAGTGGCGGCTTGCACGCTGATAGTAGGTGAGGAATAGCAACACTTGAAGAGGAGACAGATAGGGTGGAGGCTAGGTGGGTAGCGGTCTTTGTAAGGTAAATACAAACGCGCCAAAAATTCTAAAATGCTTCGGGAGTCTCACGCTGGCTTGCAAATTTTGACGATATCAGCGATGAAGGCTAATAGGCGGTGGTGATTGGGTCCTTAAAGAAGATGATATATAGCACCTAACGACGGGCATACGAAAATTGAATGTTGGAAAGGAGATGTTAGCACCTAATGGCGAATAGTGGCGGTGATACAATTTTTTCAACAACGCTTATATCCTATGAAGACATAATGGTACAATGTTAATACTAATTCAGCTAGGGCCTTAGTAGATTATTGAACACACAGCGTACTTTTTACAATAACAATGGACGCTAACATGACAAAGTTCATCAGCTGATGTTGCATAATAAAGGTACCAATCTCTACAATAACAATGGACATGATTACAAAGCCGTACCATATGGCGGTTTGCACATACAAAGCAACACCCCCACCAGCATCATAGTGAGGTTAACATTGTTCAAAATCAATAAAAGACATTCTTTTTCGATTAACTCTGTTATACTTTTCATTCACTAGTTGTACAAAATAATAAGGATCTATCAGCAACTATAGTTATGATGACAAAAACTTTGGCCCTGTTCTTCAGCACTACTTTAGTAGTACTTTTCAGCGAACGAACAATATTTTTCTCTCACAACAAATCAGCATAAGCATCAGCATAAGCCAAATTTTAGCGATGACCGTAGGTTTATCCCCGCATTGAGCGATGGACATCTCATGCAATGTAGAAGCCGGACGAAAGCGTAACTAACCTTCACCGTGCCTCCGAATCTTCGCCACGAGTAGGGATGACGCCTCGAAGAAGCCTGGGGAAGAACCACCTCGCAGAACACCCTCTATCATCCGAGAGGATGAGGAGCCCCGTGAGGAGCCTTGCTCACGCCGTCTTCGTCAACGTCAGGGAGGAATGCATGTCATATGGCGTCGAGAGATCCTAGGTCGAGATCTATGGGCTCAAAAGGTTTTCTGGCAATAGCAAGGCACCCTCCTCCGCCCTCCAGGATTTTCTATAGATATTCTAACCTAGAAATCTACAGCATGCCGACCATCAATGAGCCTAGCTACCGTGTCATCGACAACCCAGGACAACAAAGATGGTATTGTTCTTCCTCATCTCTTCACGGAACTTCCTCTAACACCCAAGATGAATGGCCACCAACAGGCCGCTATAGAACCTGATCTTGAAAGCCTTCTCCCAGCAACGGCGGAGCCACCGAAGTATGCCATGAACCATGGTGGATGAAAGGAGTTGCCGCTCTCTCAGTCTAATGCTAAGGGATTTGGAGGGAGGGAAGGGGCGAGAGACTCAGTGCACCTAGACCCGGCTTAAATAGGCCAACCTTGAAGATGCACCCAGACTTAGTGCAGTTAAGATGCGTGATCTAGGGAGCACGCATCAGGGAAGACAAGGTATACGATGGTTCCCAGCGTAATAAATGGTGGGGATAGTATTGGAATCGAAGTTGGGACATTCAACACTCACACGCTTAAATACGCCAGCCTTAAAGATGCACCCAGACTCAGTGCAGTTAAGATGCGTGATCTAGGGAGCACGAATCAGGGAAGACGAGGTATATGATGGTTCCTGGCGTAATAAGTGGTGAGGACGATGTTGGAAGTTGGGACAACATTCAACACTCACGCACGCTTCCTTGAGCTTTGGGCTTCTTATGCATCTTCCTAGATTTCGGTGTGAACACATGCCCCCAAATTTTGGAATAAATTTTGGTGTGAACACATGCCCCCAAATTTTTGATGAACCCATTGTCCCCTATGGCTATAAAAATTTGGAGGCAAGATGGAGTAGAAGGAATACTGCTTGTATTCATTTGTTGTGCTGTGACACATATCTTTTCTTCTTCGTTTTCATCTTCCAGTCTTCTTTAGAACAATGGCTCACAGCAAGCATACAAGGGAGAAACTCCAGAAGCCACGGATCCACCTCCGTGCCTTCGTGTCCCTCTTCATCGCCAATGGTGAGAGGGAATGATTTCTTATCTCTATGGTTGCC